GGTCTTAAAATTGTCCCTTGGATGGGCTTGATGTCGAGGCATATCTAAGCTTTCGTATTCGAGAAAGTAGCAGTTCCTTGAAGCAGTCAAATCCCAGTGAACTTCATTCAGATACATTTGGCTTGTGAGTTTAATGGCGAGTGAGGCTGCATTTTTATGGCATTCGAAGAAGGTGTGAGGTGGCAGGAGCTCAATCTCGTACTAAAAACAAAACTTCATCACGCTGCTAGACTTCGGATTCAGCGCGTGGGTTTGAATTACTAGAAAGTAGGAGATTCGGTCTGGCGGCGGCACCTGAATCGGAAGACCAAGAGTCAGCCTGTCTGCGAATCAGTTCGAGTTGGCTCGGTTCCATTGTGAGCAGAAAGGACTGTCTTGCGGAGATGTACAGTGCTATTAACAAAGCGAAGGATCGTGATATCTACTCGATTTCATTTAGAGAGTGCGTCTTAGTCAACCCCTCTCACTTGCGCCCTCACTTGCACCAACTAATAGGTCGGAGTACCTAGGAGCGCACCCGATAACGACATCATGCAGCTCATCACAGTAGTAACGCTTATAAGTGCAGCCGTCCGCTGCTACACAAGATACAACGGTACAGACTTTCGACATGAGTTATCAGAGACCCTTCACAACATAGTCCACAAATGGACAGGTCTCTTTGCGCGAGAGTTGCACCCAGGAAATGCGCTTCCAGACAATCATCTCGCCATCAGCAAATATATACCGGCGCATGAACTTCTCGAATATCAGCAGCCTGATCTTGGGATGTAACCTAATAACATGCATTAAGATCCGGAAACCAACACGCCGCCCATGACAGAAGCCAGGTCTTGGGATATGCAACTTTGACGCTCTCGCGCCGGTCCATCTCGCTTCTTTCGAGCAACTCAACAGTCAGTTCAGGCCCGCTAGCCCAATTCTAGTCTACTCATCGACAAAGCCAAAGAAACAGTCCAACGAGAGCAAATTTTGAAGCACGTTGATGATCCAGGCTCATCCCTTGACTTAGCATTCGATCGGCCGAGACAAGAGGCAACCGAGCTCCGTCGGCTACAATCCGTATGATATGGACAGATATTAATTAAGTACAGTATCGGAATTGGAGCCAAGTATAACGTTTGAAGAACCTGGGCAATCGATAAAGAGTTCGCAAGAAGATGAGGGGCTTAGGGACCGGTGCAGTACGAGGAAAGGCAACAGATCACACGCGTCATTTGGCATGCAGATCAATGTTCTGACATGTGACTATCGTCTCCTGAGACTCTGAGATGAATGAATAAAAGGATTAAGAATCAGGCAGCTCCGGGATATTCAAAAAGAACATCTGAGAATGGGTATTCTATGAGTTGTGGGACAAGCATCTTTTCTCGGAATGGTCTGCTTCTATCCGGAATAGACAGGATAGCAACCGTAGACTTTCAGCTCTTCGGCTATATCTTTTCAGACAGTGGTTTGATGTGTATTTAATATAGAAATCATGACTACGGGTCATGTTAAGGCTGATCCTAGTATTCAACGAGCATACTGAAAGCACGGTGACCCTGCTAAGTGACCAGTTTCAACCCGAAGAGTAATATATATAGGCCTCGTGAAACCTCTCAAAGCCCTTTCTAGCCACAAGCAATGATTCGAATGTGACTTTTCTGGTTGAACAGAACAAAGTGAGTGGCTTGAAGAAAAGGGTTTGTAGGTTGATGGTGCCACTGGTCCTCGTGAACGCCAGCGGCTCTTCCCACATCCCTCGCGTATTAACCTGACACCGAACAGAGAAGCAGAGTCCGAGGCCACAAGAACATGCGGATACGTTATTGAAGATGGCAAAGGAGCAACAACCATTGCAAGATGCATAATTCGCCATGCGTTGCCTTGCTCAAGGTATGGGCTGCCTACGGGGTGAAGCTACTTCCTCCTCATCTCCGGCCTGTGGCATCGGACTACAAGAGTGCGCGTGAATTTTCTGAAAGGCTCCTAGACATCTTATTTTTCAAGCCAAAGGGCTAGGCCACACGCTTGCTGGTCTACTGCTGTACGAGAAGGCTGCGTCCGAAGCAGAGAGGAACACCTTGTCTCTATGTATAGGCTACCTCACTGCTGGCCACCACACGCTAAGATGTTACCCTCTCCTTTCTCATCGAGTTATTGTGCCATACAACAACAGAACATAGATTGCGAGTAATCGTAGCTATATACATGTCTTTAGGGTGTAAGATGGTGTGAGCAGGCCAATGAGGCGGAGGAAGGGGTGGAAAGGCAAACAGGGGAAGACAAAACCTTGTGCATATTTGACATTACTTTTTCTGTCTTATGGAACAGAGCCTACACCAGGGCAAAACAATAGATATCTCTTACCTCTGTCAGAGTCCTCGTCTGTGAGTATGTATTCCTTCTTCTAATACCACATCACAGACTCTGACCGATCATACCCCAAGTACTTGTGATCCTAAACCATTCTAATTACAGAGGCATTCTGAGAAACAGCGAATGCACCTGATCCTAGACGGGCGATCCATGTGTGTCTTTTCAAGAAAACTTGCCAGGCCAGTCCCTACTTATAGTCCGACTTCTTGTCCACGACATCATGGATCGCTACGTGTCCAGGCAACACATGATGGACGCCGAGCAGGTGCAGTTCAGGTCTCGTGACGCATGTGAAGTCTTCGTTGAGTATTCAACAACCAAAACGGACAGCGTTCTTGCACCAATTGGCTAGCCCCATTGGCAGTTTGCTATCAACTGTGACCCTGGTTAGCAGGTATCATACAACACGCAAGAGGCTGTCTGTGCTAACTGAAAGCCCTGGGATATCATTGTCATCCTTAAAGTGTTTCACTACGATACGCTAAAAAGGCCACGATACGTCAAACTTCAACGGCAGAGTGAGTACGTTGCAGGACCTTGTTCCCCGATAGAGACGATCAATATATGTTGTTCGCAGTTTTCTCACTTGCAACTAGCGTTCAAGAACACAATTGTTTTGTGCTTCTAACCACAACTACATACCTATCTTACTTTGAATACTTCAACCCGCCAACAGATATGCACGGGGTCTACTGGGCAACAGAGAAGCTCTGAATGCCACCAATGTCATATGTACTTGATTTGGAGCCACAAACACTGACACTTCAACAATGGCGTCTGCTTTCTCCTGGTATTCAACAAAGCTTTCGAATGTTCCAACTAGTTTGATCTCAGGAAAAAAATGCTATTGACGATACCTCAGCATCTCTGAGCCTGGCGTTCTTGCTCGTCCATGCAGTATCATTCAAGATACTTCAAGGGGATGGGCGGGAGCCGCATGTACTTGGCAGATTGACAATGTGAGGGAAGGCTTCTCATCAATATGGAGCAGGCAGTATGAAGTGGAAGCCTTGAAGTCCAAACTCCGAAGTGAACTCTTTTGTAAGAGAGCCTTCGATTGTCGGTGCTGACTTCATAGACGAGCTATGCCATGACTTTAATACCGTCTTGTCAGCAGTTGAGAAGACACATTCGTGAAGCGGATATCTGCTAATGATCATGTCGTTTCTCAACATTAGATAGTTGCGCATCTAGCACTGCCTATCCCCAATAGTCTTCTACAAAGTGGTTCATCTCACCACACTACCTTCTATCTTCTAGCTCAACGATTCGCCGCGGGAAACACCTGCCAGTGCAAGAACAGTCTTCCCGTTGGAGGCATTCAACCCGCTATCACAAGTGTTCAGTGACTTACAACCCAAGGACCAAATAACAGGAATCCATACCCAGCTGGATGAATCCCGTTGGGCAAGCTAGGCGGAATGAAATCGTTAGGGAACCAGATGCAATTAGGCCTAAACACACATACCTATCACCAGCCAAGAGAAGCAAACTTGTAACTGTCTTGTGGTTGTTCATGCCAAATACGCCAATGGCACGAAAGGTGGAGGACAAGGTCGGGAATCTACTCCGAATCTGACTTCAGGGCGAATGTCAACGAGCTTCGACAAATCCAACCTACAGCCTATCTTGGATGTGCAAAAGGAAGCCCAAGAGAATGTGAATCGACTGGCGCTTGATTTGACACAAACCACCCGTCCCTCGGCCTTTATATCCAGCCATGTCACCCGTCAAGAAGACACGGCACCCCCGATACTATCGGTGGCCACTCCCAGTCCTTCCGCGTTCCATCGACACACACGCAAACACACAACCCGAAGAAGCCACGCTCTTCAAATAACCACCATCGCCAGCATCATGCCGCAAGCGCGAGCAATTCAACATCTGAGCAACCCTACCACGAACCCGCCGACAAGAACCCCCTACCCGCACCGCCAAGACCATCTCTCGCCAAAGCGGACCCCATGGCGCCATCCGCTCCAGTGGAACCACCTCTCCCCGTCCCGAGATCGCGGGTTCCCGCAAGGACTCGAAATGTTTCACGGGGTGCGGCAAGGATAGTCAAAATGGAGTCCGTGACCCCTCAGATGCGCGTGAGCGCGCGGCTACCCCGTCAAGCTTTCTTCCCTTATCTTTCCCGGCGCGGAGAGGCACAAACTTTAAACGCTCGGCCGGCCCGGGAGCCGCGCAGGCCGCGCCTACGCCGCGTCGGGAACGGACGTCGAACCGGATCGACTCCGTATCGCATTATCGCGAAGGTTGATCGGGAGCGGTTGGGGTGGCTCCTGCTGCTGCTACGCTACGCCCTTGATCCACCGGCGCGCATGACACGGAGGAGCAAAAAGGATGGGTCTACATTGTTTCATGGAGCATTTGTCTATAGTTCCAAGGGACGCAAAAAGGAGCGCATCCCAACAAAACGTATCTCTAAGTGAATGCAGAAGCAAGATAAAGAACAGATACAGACGCGGAGCCCCGGGATTTCACTCGCACGGGGCATCGGCGGAGTAGTCCGTGGTGTTGATGGAGTAGCGGCGGCTCCCCAACACGGACACGGAGTCCCGCCCCCGACATTTTGTCAGCCAGCCTAACTCTAAGCCCAATAGCCTTTCCAGGTATTGTTTCCGAAACGCCGTTTCTTAGTGCTTAGCGGTGACCTTGTCGCCGGTGAGCTTCTCGACATAAGTCTTAGCCCTGTAGTCATCGTGGTTAGATTGGTCCAATGTATCTCGACGAGGCGGGATAACTCACATATCACCCATGGCAACCATGCAAACCGTCTGCCAGACGCCGAGACCAATACGGGGGGCAACGCCGCGGTAGAGACCGGCGAGACCGTTGGTCGAGTAGATGTAGCGGAAAGTGTTACCGACAGTCATCTTCTTGGGTCGGTTGGGGTCCTCCTTCTTGCTCTGCATCTCAACACGGATAACCTCGATTGGCTGGTTCCAGGCGGAGAGACCACCACCAAGACTGGAGGCAAGAATCTTCTCCCAGGCGCCGAGCTTCTCACCTTCCTTCTTGCCGGTGACGTTGCGGATGCCCTGCTCAGCGAGACGGGACAGACCGAAACGGGAACCCCAGTTGGTCATCTGGCGGATAGCGACAGCGTTGACACCCTTGTTGATACCGCGGATACCCTCCTTGCGGTAGATGTCCATGAAAGTGGCGAAGGTGCTCTGGGGCGCGACGCCCGCGGCGGCCATCTTGTGCTTGGTAATCTCGACCGTCTTCATGCAAGTGCAGAAGCCCATGGTGGCATAAGCCTGGGCCACACCGCCGGTGATACCACCGACGATACCACCACCGAACTCAGAGGCACCGTAGCTGCGGGCGTAGAATTCGGCTTCGGAGGCGACGAAGAGGAGGACGGCGCCCTTGGTGGAGGCTTCGATCCAGGCCCAAGGGATAAGACCCTGGTAGACTATGAGGGGTCAGGTCAGCATTGGATGCTCAAATGGGTCGATTCGAATGTGGTTTTGTCGAGCTCGATTCGTTCGTGACGGCGATCGAAGAGACGAAGGGATTGGGTGTTACTCACAACCAAGGACACCACCACGTCCCCAAATGCGGCCCAGGGCAGTGCCAAAGCCGTCGCCACGGTTGGCAGCCATGGTGGTCTTGACGACCTCGAGCGGCTGGCCGAGCGTGGTGACCTCGAACATGTTCAAACCGGCGCCCAACAGCAAGTTGGAGAACTTGATGGGCTTCTTCTCCAGCTTCTGGGGCTCCCCGATGGGGGCGGGCATGGTGGCGACGGCGACCATGGCTCTGCTACTTGTGATGACGGAAAGGGGCCCTGACCAAGGGAAGAGGGTGCTTCTTCGCGGGGGAGGACGGCGGTTGTAGTCGTCGGTTTATGGGTGGTATGGGGTAGTGCTTGTGAATGGAGCAAACTTTAGCTTGGAATGGGGAATGCGGTAGGTTGCGGGATAAAAGCTGGGAAAGACCTCGGATATCGAGCTGTTCGGGGCTTGTCTCGGGGGAAGACCGAGGCAAAGGGGGGATTTGTTAGGTGTCTGTTAGAGAGAGAGACGAGCGAAAAGCGTCGGGATTGGCTTGAGTCGGGGTGGGAGTTCTCAGTAGGGGACTTGGAACAGTGAACAGGAGAGAGCAGAACGACTACTCGGGGAGCTGGGAGCGAGGGAGAGGGCGCTTTTTGCACGTGGGAATTGGGTGGGTTCTGGAGGGAAACAGTGAACCGGGGGGGGGGGGACACTTGGAGCTCCTCAATTTTTTTTTGGCTTTCCTGGTTCCCAGATGGCCCCAGGGCGGGCTAATACTGGGCTGCTGAGCTGCTGCTGAGGAGGAGGAGTTGCGCTGCCAATGCGCGCATACGCAGGCAGCACGTATTGCTGAGTTCAGCGTAGCAGCAGCAGCAGATCACATAGCCACAAAAAAGGAACAGACGTGTCCTGTCCAGCCAGTTGGTTGGCTCCCTCAAGGCAGGTGGCAGAGCCCTTGCTGCCCTTTCCCCCAATGATTGCAGCAGCGTATGTCAGCTTGGCGAGGATGACTCCTGGGTACTTTGCGACTGCCTGTGAAGAAGCCTATTGTCGTGGTATCGGCTACATGAAGGGCCGCATTGGAATGTCAAATTGTGAGACTGTCCTCGAGCCTCGCGAAGAGGCCAATTGTCCAGACACGCCGTAGTACCTAATCATTATAAGACGAGAACTCCCTTTCCTTCTCCCTGTGCGTCTCCCGCCGTCTCGAATGCCTCTGCTGACCTGAACAATGGCGGCACTTGTCTTATTGCATTCCCTGCTGCCTGCCATATGTACTTGCCGCCGAGATGCGGTCTGATGTCAGCTCAGGGGACAAGAAGCAGAGAGAAGTCATCAGCAAGTCCGTCCATTCTTCTCACGTCGTCGGACTTCATCTCAGGAAACACCACCACACAACCACTCGCAAAAGAGCTGTGAGCTGAGCTACCAGCACCAGTCCCAAAGAAATAAATAAAAAAAGGGTCCGCCGGCGCGCGGTTCCATCTGTCGCAGTCGCAGTGCCACGGACTGGCCCGTGGGCTCTCCGCCAACCACACCAAACGGGCACTAAAACGCTCGTCCTGGAGCTCAACCTCCCCAACAGCTCCAGAGCCTTGTCCCCATCTGGAGAGCTCAACGCAAAATTCCGTGGGGATCTTCCGAGCAAGCCACGCAAATATTGACCGCAAAGCCTCAACCTCATACGCGTTTCCATGCAGTCGTCCACTTTTGTGTTACCAAATAGACCATTCGCTCCAATCATGCTCTTCGTCGCCTCTGTCTTCGTCGGCGATTCCCTCGGGGGTGCCCCGTCGTCGTTGTTAATTGTCTTGCTTTTGCAGCTTCGAAAACTGCCTCGAAGCCTTCCCTGCCCTATTTGTTTGCTTCGTGTTTGCTGCTCCGGACTTGCCATGGGGACATTTCCGTATGCTGGACTCGATGGCCAACAAGCCCCGCCGCCATTCTGAAGTGAGGTATCCCGCGTTTACCTTAGGTAAGGCGAAGGCGCATCATGTTAGTGAGCCCAGCGCATGCGTGTGTCCCTGGCGCTCCTGCAGGAACTCCAACCCGTCTCCAACAAGCTAGGATAGCTCCTCAGTCCGGTCGCGTCCGTGCATCGCGGCGCCGTCTTGTCACTGTCGCACGAACTCCATCCCGTAGATCGGCAATTGTTGCCGCTCACATCATCCTATCTTCACACATCAGCTCCGGATGCGCTCCGAGCTTCGAGAACAGACAGTTGTAAAACTTCAAAATAGCATTGGTGTATTCGGACAGCCTGCCTCGGCCAAGGTAACTAAAACAACCCAGAAAAACCCGGTAAAAGCAGCACGTCTCGGTATTGTACAAGCGCAGTGGATGGTATCGCCCATAGCCTTTCTATCCACCCCGACTGAAACAACACGCTGCCTGTCATGTCTGTTGTTGATCGCGCATACGATCCTGCTGCCTTTTCCGCACACGCGGTTCTACCCGCGTCTGCGTCTTCTCCATTTTTTGTATCCTCTACCTCTAAGCGTAAATGTTTAGAGCTTCTTGGCGAGCTCGGCCCACTTCTCGGTAGAGAAGGACTTGGGGCGCTCGATGGGGGCGCCGAGAGCGCGGTCGATGATGAGCTGGGGAAGGACACCGATGGCGCGGGAAACACCGAAGAGGACGGTGTAGTAGTTGGCCTCGGTGAGACCGTAGTACTGGAGGAGGACACCGGAGTGGGCATCGACGTTGGGGAAGGGGTTCTTGGTCTTGCCGTGCTCGGTGAGAACCTTGGGGGCGATCTTGTAGACCTGGGAGACGAGGTTGAACATGGGGTCGTTGGGCATCTTCTCTATAGGGCTGTTAGCTTTCCACACTCGCAGTCTTCATGCTGGCTGCAGATACGTACCCTGGGCGAACTTGCGCTGAGCCATGTAACGGGGGTCAGTCTTGCGGAGGACGGCGTGGCCGTAACCGGGGACGACACGGCCGGCGTTCAGGGTGGACCAGAGGTAGTCGGTGATGGCCTTGTCAGAGAGATCGTCGCCGACGGACTTCTTCATCTCGGTGAGCCAGTTCAGGACCTCCTGGTTAGCCAGGCCGTGGAGAGGACCGGCCAGACCGTTGAGACCAGCAGAGACGGACAGGAAGGGGGAGGACAGGGCAGAGCCGACCAGGTGAGTGGTGTGGGCAGAGACGTTGCCACCCTCGTGGTCAGTGTGGATGGTCAGGTACAGACGCATCAGCTCAATGAAGTCGGCGTTGTTGCCGAAGCCGAGCTGGTTGGCGAAGTTGAAGGAGTAGTCCTTGTCCTTCTGGACGGGAGCAACCTTTCCGCCCTTGAAGACGTTCTGGTAGATGCGAGCGGCAATGGTGGGCAGCTTGGCAATCAGGTCCATGGAGTCCTCGAAGGTGTATCCCCAGTACTCCTTCTTGTTAACACCCTTGGCGTAGGCCTTGGCGAAGGAAGAGGTGTGCTCGAGAGCGGTGACGGCAAGGGAGAACTGAGCCATGGGGTGGAGGTCGGTAGGGCAGTGGTCGATGAGCTCCTCGACGAACTTGGGGATGTCGGAGCGGGCAGCCCACTCGGCGGACAGGTCGCGGACCTGCTGCTCGGTGGGAACCTCACCGGTCAGGAGAAGCCAGAAGAGACCTAGATGTCTCGTCAGTCGGATGCGAATGCGCCACTATCGCAGCAGTCAAACTTACCCTCAGGAAGGGGCTCCTTGCCGCCGGGGGCCTTGGGGAGAAGCTCCTGGCACTCGGGGATGGTCTTGCCGCGGAAACGGATACCCTCCTCAGAGTCGAGGACGGAACCCTCCCAGACGAGGCACTTGATGCCACGGGCACCACCGTAGACCTGGTCGAGAGTGACCTTGTCAATGACCTTGGAGCCATGCTCTCTGCGACGACGAGGTTAGCGGGGCTACCCAGTGTTGAGATAAGGGACACAATGGGTGTTGGCATACTTTCTCAGGGCCTTGACCTCCTCGATCTTCTCCGGGAGGAGCTCAGCGAAGCGCTCCTTGAGGGTCTAGATGCGAACGTGTCAGCTTCAGGATACCCGAGGTATTCGGACAGGCGGGAAGCTGTGTTACCTGGTTCTTGGAGGAGTAGCAGCGGGCGGCGTTGAAAGCCGTCAGTCTGGCATTGAAGGGGGAGGCCCTGAGGGAGGTCCTCAGAGCCGAGGAGGAGAGACGCGCGACAGAGGCCATTGTGAGAATACTGAGAGGTGAGGGACTGGTGAAGAGTGGAAGTCGGGAAGAGGAAGGAAAAGTCCAGGTCTTGAGAAAAAGGCGCAATGGCAAAAAAAATATGAGGTAGGCGTTCCCGGACTTGACCCCCCTGCACGAAAGTTACATCACTTTGGGCGGCAGGTGTGGACGGAAATACCTACCAGTGGATTGTGGAAGCCCCGGGCATACGGGACAGCCGCTGGCGGTGAGGTATCGGCGCTGCACATTTCGGCGCACGAGGTACTTTTTCACCCGGTTGACCTGCAGCGATTGAGCCCTTTGGCGCGATCCCCAACGTCCCGCGGCCCAAACGTCCAACAAGACAGCAGGGCAGCCTGTCCAGCCCAGACCAGACCATTGAACTTGATGTAGGCACCTAGGAATGATTGAGAGACTCACTCAGCCGCCATCTGACACTCTGTCTACAAAGGATTCTTCTCAGTGGCCTCCCTCCTCAGATATTGATGCCCGGGATCCCATATTCGCACAACATCGTGTCCCCTAACTTACTCAGGGCTGGTTTCAATTGCGACGGGATTCCTCTAGGCCGTCGAGACCTGAGGTAAGGAGCTCGAGGGAGAGAGAAAGCCCGACTGGTACCGTTTCATGCAGCCAGTGCCCCCCCAACCGACTCCAATCAATCTATCCTGTCAATCTCTGGATCTCGACTCCCACTAAGGAGTCCCCGTCTTTTTTCGTACCTATTGTATCCACACATCTTGTAAAATCTGTCCTGCCCACGCTGTCTCCAGTTTCCTCTCCGTATCAAGCGCCCCGTTTTTGCGCGCGAAAAGCCGAAAATTGTGGATGTCTGGGCGGCTTCTCTCGGAGCACCCACCCCATCGTCCGAATTTCGGAACGCCAGCCAGCCAACTGCATTGGCCCAACATAGACATCGCAGCCTTGACCTGGGCCTGGCCAAGAACAATGCGCCTCACGGTGAGACTGGACGATATTTCCCAGGCAAGATTGACTTGTTGGACATCCGGGGCATCTGGGAAACGGGCCGTTCCCCCACGAATCGTCCGCCCACCAACTTGTGGGTGAGAGGGCGAGTAACTGTGCTACAGACGCCGGACTCGGTGCCTGCGTTAGTAAGGAGTAAACAGCGTCGAGGCGCTTTGCTGATCCTCGCCGTCCGCCCAGAGCTCCGAGCTTGTCTCGCACGTCTACCGCCAGCTCCGAGCCTCCGTGACCCGCCGCACGCCTCAATGCAACCTATGGGAACGAGAAACCAGCCCTCCTGCCCGTCTTGGAGAGAACTTCCATTCGTGGCACAGCAGCTTCTTAACCGCCTCATCCGAGGATGCTCTTGCTTGGCCGCGCGGGATGTTGGGGTTTCCGTTCGCCCACGATATTGCAGTCGACGACATAGCCGGCCATCACACAAGTTGGCTGGTCATCTTTGTGGCACTGCCGTCTGTTTGCCCTTCCCGATATCGTCGTCTCCGGGCCATTGTTTTCGCAACGATGGCAGCTAATTCAATGCTTGCATGTAATGACGATCAGCTAGACACGTTGCTGCAGCTGCAGACTTATTGGCCAGCAGAGCAGGTACTCATCATTTCCAGTGGATGTTATCTGCATGCACAGCGACCAGCTGTGCGTACAGGCTCCGTTGTTGTTATCGTGTCCGGGCCGACGACGCAGAAGTGTTGACGGGAGCTCTGGCCAATCCGAGCGCCGAGCAAAAAAGCATTTCCCATTATTTCCATATTGGCGCGCTAACGAAATGGAAGCGAGCGCAGGGACGGACCTCTGGCGAGCGTCGAGTTCCGATCGCCTTCGCGGGAGAACTTCGGCGGTGGGCCGTTCATCTCGCCTCGGTTCGCGACTTTGCAGGTACGTACCTACCTAGCAGCACCGTCAGCAGGAACCTCTGCCTGCTGCAAGTGTGTCATTTGCCTGAGGCTAGAAGGCCAGATGACAAAGATCTTAGCCATTGAAAAGTCTCCATCCAGAGGTGTGACCGCAAATAAAGCGGCATCAGCGCTGGTTTTCTGCCACATCTCACCGCCAACCGTAATGCTCTTGCCCAGCAACACCTTCCATTCGTCTCCAAAAAGCGACCCAGCTCCCGCCCCCTCCCCACTCTGCAAACTTCCCTTCTCTCACCACAACCTCCCTTCCCTTCTAGTAACCAACATCAAACTACTGACAAACCGCAGCGCAAACCTGCATCACGCCCATCCGTCCCGAAGCCTGATAGCCACATTTCCATCGAGGCTGCCATCGTATTTTGACGAGTTTCGTACTTCTCCTCCGTGGACCGCAAAGTCCGACCGTGGGTAAAGCCAGAAAAGTAGTAGTCGTCGACGACTCCTGCCATTTAGAAATCTCTTCCGTGACCTAGGACGACTCTTCAAACGTGTCGCGCACTCTGTCCGTACAAGTAGAGAGTCATCCAATCCAGAGACTCGCATCGTTCGTACTTTGAGAGAGAGGTCTGGTCTGCGACCTGTGGGATTTTCGGTCTGCGGCTTGTAAAATCACAGAAACTACACTACCTACCTACACTTTGACTGGGGGAAAGAGCGACGAACTGTCGTTGAGGTGCTCCTGCTCTTGCTGTGGAAGGAACGTCGGGTGGCTCTCAGTTGACTCCTCGCCTTCCGCTTGGGACTTCACGTACACACAACTTCTTCCCACCCACCAACCAGTAAATCGCCCACCGCGCACTTCTCGCGCAGACTTTTTCGGCTGCTGGCCATTGCAGGCTTTCTCTCTTTCCTCTTGCCTGCACTCGCCTGCCTTCCTCCGTCCCTCGTATTTTTGCAACTGGGATTGGATTCACTTCTACTCTTGAAAAACAACAACACCACGCCCAACATCGCCGTCGCCATCGTCGCAACAACGCCAGCACTATGGCTTCCGCACTTGCGGACCTAGAAGAGGGTCTCCAGACCATGCTCACCCTCAAACCTCCTGGTGTATCGGGATCCCGTATTGGTGTCATAACCAAGATCTGTGTCGAAAATGTTCAGGTACGATTGTTGACGCGCCTCTCGCATCGCCAGTGCCTGGTGACTTGGAACTAACCTCAATATTTTTTCCCGCAGTCTGAGTCTATTATCGTTCAGAAGCTGTTCATGCATTTCAAGAAGGCCCCCATCTCCCACAAGCTGGGCGTCCTCTACGTCGTTGACTCCGTGACTCGAAAGTGGGTGGAGCAAGCGAAGTCTGCTGGTCAGCATGTTGATGGTTCTGCTTCTGATGGGACCTTTGCTGCTGGTGTTCACCGGGTCACCGAGCTCATGCCTGTCCTTATGAATGACATGCTGCAGCTGTTGCCCGAGGGCCAAAAGGTACGCTTAATTCTCGAGAACAGTTGGAGTGCTTGTCCTCCATGTCCAATCTACGCATCGAACGTTGTAGTGCTGCAAGCCGAGTGCTTTCTACGAGCTACCTGCGCTTTCATTTTTTGTCTCACACTTGAAGGCTTGGATCTACACACACAAAGACCGCGATACTTGTGAAGATGCGCACATCACGTATTGCTGACACGCTACTGCTCGCTCCTTGTTGACCTTGAAGACCAACTACTTACATGAATTTCGTACCTCATAGGATAAGATCTCTAAGCTCCTGGACATTTGGGAAAAAGGATCAACGTTCCCCTCTACAATGCTCGAGTCATTCCGCCAGAAGTTGAAGGCCGCCCCTGAGCCGAGTATGTCTTCCCACGAGATGATGGGTATCATTCTACACCCATCGTCAAAGCCTGATAGCCATTTGACTAACATACTATCACCTGCAGCCCAGTCCACCACGCCGGAGGGTAGTCCCCCCCCAGGCTTGGTCGCATTCATGGGCTACAACACCAACCGACCGGCCGCTCCGACTCAACCTCCTCCCCCTTCTGCTCAGAGCAGCAATGCCATCATAGCAGCTCTTGCCAACTTGGCCAAACAGAACAACGCAGGTTCTCCTCAACCTCCCCAGCCGCCTGCTTCGGTTCCCACTGCCGCTCCAGCTGCTCCCCAGACTGCACCTCAGGCAACATCTCAGACCGCGCTCCAAAGTGCATCCAGCATCCTGGCCAACCTTCAGAATGTTGCTGCTCGGCATCAGCAGCAGAACCAGCAGCAGGTTGCCCCTCCTACCAACTACGCTCAGCCCCCTTATTCCATGGCAAACTACTCGCAGCCTGCTGCTGCTGCCGCAAATCCTGCCCCTATGGCTGCGCAATTCCCTTTCGCGATGCCTCAGCCCCCTGTTCCGCCCCAGATGCCATTCGGCATGCCGTTCCCTGGTGCTGCCGCGCCTCAGCCGCCGGCTCCTCAAGCTCAGGGTTTTCAGGCCTCGCAAGTGGCCCAGCTCCTCAAGATGTTCACTGATGCCGGTGTGTCTGCGGACAAGTTGCCTGGTCTCCTGGCTTCTTTCAATGCTGCTCAGCCTGCGCCTGGTGCTTCAGCCACACCTGCGGCCCACAACCCCTACGCGAACGCCACCGGACAGGGATGGGGCGGACCCGTCCAATCCAACGACAGCCGTGACCAGCACCGGTACGGCGAGGGTCCTCGTTCCCCCGGCGGGTACGGCCGCTCTCGCTCTAGGTCCCCTGGTCGCCGTTGGGACTCTCGCGGCCCCGCCCGTGGCTCTCCTCGCGGCAGCCGAGATGACTACCGCCAGTCGCCCAACCGTAGTCGCCAAGACGACCGAGACGGCCGTGGACGAGGCAGCGACTATCGTCAACGCAGTCCTGTCGGCAGAAACGGCCGTAGTCCTACTCCCCGCCGCAACTCTGGTGATAAGTGGGTTGAATTTGATCGCTCCCTTCCCAATGGAAGGATCAAGGTTCTCAGCCGTACCCTCTTCGTCGGCGGAGTAGCGTAAGTACTACCTTCTATACTGTCACCCAACCATACTGACACCTCAACTAGCTACACTGAGCGCGAGTTGCGTGAGGTTTTCAGCAAGTACGGTCAGGTGCAGACCTGCATCGTCAATAAGGAGAAGCGCCATGCTTTCGTCAAGAT